TCTGGACAAAATCTCGAATAGAAGTCTTCATACCTCGCCAATGGAAATCAGTCCGGACGCGGTGTAGTGTTTTTTGAATGCCCTCATGGGTGGAGTTATGGATGCTGGTGATGATGGTGGGAATCAACGGGCAGTCTGCTGGAAGATGGACTCGTCCCTTATACAATACCAACCCATCGTGAAGTGACCAATCGGGGTCGGCCATGCCGGTTTGGATCTTCTACAGTAAGAGCCACCATTCCGGGGACTGTGATGCTACCTTCTTAATGTCGTCAAACAGAGAGATCCGAGGTTGGGAAATGCTACATAGAACCATCGCATCTTCTTCTCGCCTAGACAAGGCATCAGCTACGCAATTAGAGGATCTCGTCTTATATTCCACCCGGAAGTCAAACCCGAGCAGTTTGCTAACCCAATGCTGYTGAGGAGAAGTGGTGAGACGCTGCTCTAACAGGTACTTGAGGCTGTAATGATCAGTTTTGACGATGAACGACCGCCCCAAAAAATACGGCCTCCAGTGCTGGATGGCTCGGGCAAGGCCGATTAGTTTGCGCTCATAGGTTGGAAGCTTCAGATGTCGGTCGGCCAATCTGCGGCTGAAGAAAGCGATCGGGTGCCTTTGCTGCTGTAGTACGGCCCCGATACCCACTCGAGAAACATCACACTCGACTGTAAATTCGAGGGCAAAATTAGGTAATTGCAGGACAGGGGTTGAAGACAGTGCATTTCGTAGTGAYAGAAAAGCTTCATCAGCTGCGTCGTCCCACCGGAAGGAGTTTCTCTTCAACAGGTTGGTTAAYGGGGCTGCCAACACTCCATAGTTCTGTACAAATTTGCGGTAGTAACCCGTTAAACCGAGGAACCCACGTAAGGCCTTGGCAGATTGAGGTTTGGGCCATTCTGTTATAGCCTGAATCTTGGAACTATCAATTGTTACACCCTGCCCATGGATGATGTGGCCGAGGTAAAGAACCTGTCGTTCCCCGAAGGAGCACTTGGACCGTTTCAAGAATAAGCTGTGTTGGCGTAGKAGTACGAAAACGGTCCTCAGATGGTGGACATGCTCTACCCATGATTTGCTGTAAACGAKGATATCATCAAAGAAAACTAAAACAAATTTGCACAGATGGGGTTGGAATACCTTGTTCATTAGTGCCTGAAATGTAGATGGTGCATTGGAGAGTCCGAATGGCATGACTAAAAATTCGAAGTGGYCATGGTGGGTGCAAAAAGCAGTCTTCTTCACGTCACCGGGAGCCATGCGAACTTGGAAATATCCGGACTTGAGGTCCAACTTAGAGAAATACTGGGCACCATGCAACTCGTCCAGCAGTTCGTCCACAACGGGAATAGGGAACTTATCTTTGATCGTCCGGTCATTGAGTTCTCTATAGTCAACACARAACCTCCACGTTCCATCCTGCTTCGCCACCAACAAAACCGGCGAAGAGAAGGGGGAGTGACTTTTGCGTATGATCCCCTGGTTCAGCATCGCTATACATTGTTTTTCTATCTCATCCTTCTGTAAGTGAGGGTAGCGATAAGGCCTGACAACGACTGGTGCTGAACCTGCCACCAAAGGAATASGATGGTCGCAAGCTCGGGAAGGGGGAAGGCCCTTCGATTCCTCGAACAGATCTGAAAACTCGGCGAGAAGTTTTTCCATGGCTGCCGGTTCTGTCTGGAGTGCATGAACCTGCGGTGTCTTTTCTTTAACCCTACAACCGTGCCATGAAACTTGCTTGCCATT